TCCTTCCTTCCTTCCTTCCTTCCTTCCTTCCTTCCTTCCTTCCTTCCTTCCTTTCTTCTCGCTCTTTTCTTTTTGGTACTGGGAATCAAACTCATAACCTTGCACTTGCCAGGCAGGTGCTGTGCTGTTGAGCTCTATCCCTGGCTCTGGCTTTTTTTTCTAAATTGAAGCCACTTCAACTTTTCTTAGATCAAAATCTATTTCCTCATTTTCTAAGAAACAAGAAAAGCCCTCAGAGGTTGAAGTTGCTTTAAAGCCATAGGAATTATTTATGATATTTCTCTGAGGCAAAGACATTTATTACATCATAGGTTTTTTGAGTCTTAAATTTAAGAATAATTTCTTTGATCTCGTGGATACTTTCTGTGTCCTGCCTGCTGTTATTCTTTAGTATGGCATCCCTCCTGCTGGAGATATTTTAGATTGTGTTTAGTATTAAGAGGTGTAGACCCCAATCAGTCCAGGCCACATAACAAGCAAGTCTGAGGGATGTTTGATTCTAAAACAAGCATAGACTTGTTTGGGACATTTACTGTGGCCAGCCAGCTGGGCCATTAGGTTTTGAATGATTACAAGCAGATGTGATTCATCTGTGCTAGAATATGAATCATCCAAAAGACTTTTTCTGACAGTTTAAAAGTGTGTATGAAGGAGGAATTGGGGAACAGTAAGTGACTGCTCTCTAGAAATAATAAACACTCAATACCTGGTACATGGGAGATGGAAAGTGCAGAGATAGATTTTGTGCAATTTGGCTCCTTTAGAGAGTTTTCTATCTTTTTTTTAAATTTTTTTTTAAATTTTATTTGTGTGTGTGTGTGTGTGTGTGTGTGTGTGTGTGTGTGTCCAGCTCAGCCCACCAGGGGGCGGGGCTGGCTGGCATGTGGTGCTGGGGTATTGAACCGCGGTTCCTGTGCTCTGCTAAGCTTGTCCGAAGTAGGTGCTTTAGACCACTGAACCACCTCACCAGCCCAAGTTTTCTATCTTTTTAATCTGCCACAGTCCTACTCATTGTGTAAGGGGCAGCTCAGATGTCACCTTCTTCAGAAAACCTTTCTGATTCACCAGGAGGATTTTGCAACCCATACCTTGCACATATGTTGATGCCACTCTCAGCCCCAGATAGACTTAGTGTGGCAGCTGCAGTTAGGCTGCGAAGCCTAGACAGTGGGACTGTGAAGGAAGCATCTCAGAATTCCTAGGGCCCCGCTCCGAGCAGCAGCGGTATGATACAGGGAATGAAACTCCCGACCTGAAAGATACCTGGGACAAGTTCGCATTCTCTAAAACCGAAGAATGAATTTTAGGAACAAATGGAGATTAAGAGCAGAATCTATTTCCTGGGGAAAGAAAGTTTCTGTCTGAGAGAGGGACAGAAGGGGAGCCCAAATGGGTTATCCCTGGGAAGCTGTTTCTTCCAGGGACTTTTATAGAGTAAAACCTTGCAGCAAGGTAGGTCTAAGGTGAAAAACATGGAAACTTGCTGAGGTGGGCATGAGGTGGAACAAAACCATGGTCAACCAGTAAGGTTACAAGTACCATTGCTCAGGTAAAACTGATTAAGTCTAGTACCAAATGGGGAAGAGAGTCACATAGCAAGCGGGCAGGAATATAGAACAGGAGTTTATTTGGTAGCCAGCTCGTAGGGGTTGGATTAGTGACTCTTCCTGGCTTCCTCAGGGTGATGATCAATCCTGGAAGCTTATCTTTAGGGAGGTCAGCATTTGTTCAATCTTTGGTCTCTAGGTCTGGCCCACAGCAGGAGCATCCCTCTCTCTCACAGTTGCAACATATCTTGTCTACCATGCTGTCTCCTTGAGGGCCTGGCCCTGTCCAACTGCCCGTAATATTTCTAATTTAGCTGCCTACAAGTAGATGTTTATCACCTGATTTTTCCCACCCAATACCAGAGATTGAATTTGGGACCTTGTGCTTGCCAGGCAGGCACTTATGCCACTGAGCTATAGCCCCCCCCCATTGCCTGAATATTAAAAATAGGAACTGATATAGGGTAATGAAGCTCCTGACCTGAAAGGTAACCAGGACAGGGTCGTGTTCTCTAAAACCAAAGAATAAATTTTAGGAACAAACAGAGGCTAGGAACAGAATACTTATTGGGAAAAGAAAGCTTCTCTCTCCAAGAGAGGAACAGAAGGGAGACCTGAGGGGGTTGTCTAGGGATGCTGTCTCTTCCAGGGATTTTTATAGAGTAAAACCATACGGTGGTGGGTCTAAGGTGGAGAACATGGGACTTCCTGAGGTAGGCATGAGGTGAGACAAAACTATGGTCAGTCAGATTACAAGCACCATGGCTCAGATCAAGTTGATTAAATCCAGTACCAAATGAGGAAGCGGGTCCCATAGCAAGTGGGCATGAACACGGGACAGGGTCTCTTCCTGTTGGGGGTTGGGCTAGTGACTCATTTGGGCTCTTTCAAGGTGATTACTACCTATTTAGAGTATCAATTTCTGATGCCCCATTCCTAGGGAAGTATGTGGCTGCATTTGTTTACTCTTTTGTCTTGAGGTCTGGCCCACAAAGGGAGTGTCTGTCTCTTCCAAAGTTGCAAAGTCACATTGTCTTCCATATTGTTCTTGAGGGCGTAGCCCTGGCCTAGAATATTTCTATCTAATTTAGCTGCCTACAGCAGAACTGTAGTAAAAGGAAGCCAGGTAGCCTAAGTTGCCCCAGATACATTTGCTCTTGCAAAATAAGGCAGTAAGACAGAGATTATCATCTGGAATGGTTAATAGTAGAACTACTTTTTAAAGCTGCCCTTATACTGCAAACCTTGTAAAATATCTTACCCTTTTAACTGTGCATAAGGTAAGCTCAAGTCCATCATGGTATAGAGGTCAGATAGGAGATTTGGAAAGTAAAAGGCTGGTATTTAGGAGGAACACTGCTCCATGTTAGCTGAGCAATATTACAAAGTCTTTCGGCATCTCAGAATCTCCATTACGTTACCTGTCTTGCAATGTGGCTGGAGGAAGTGATAGAAAAGTACCTCTGACCTTGCATGGGGAACTGAGCACATTTTAATGTCTTCCTAGGTAAAGTTACCTGAGAAGCCAGGATCATCTGAAGAGATGGTAGGCAGCCCCTGGAAAGGAACCTTGAAGGGCCTGGAAAGCAGCCCCTGAGGTGTAATTTCCTACATTTATTTAGTGTTCTCTAAGGCCATGTTGGAGTTTTGCCGACTCCACTTGAACCCAAAGCCTGGTGCATCTCTCAGAACCGTATATTGAGGGAAGACAGGAAATGGGCATAAAATACAGTGCTCAAAAAATAAAGCCTACCTTTAGAAACAGCCATTGTTGCCTTTGGTTTATTTCATTACCTATATATCTTAAATTCAAACCTTTAAAGAGTTATTTCCCACTCAGGGAAGCAGATTATCTCAGGTGAATTGAAGTTACCATTCTTGGAACATTTTTTTTAAAAATTAAGTTAATTTTTTTTTGTCATTTTGAGACTGGGTTTCACTATGCAATTCAGGCTAGCCCAGCAGTTCGTTTTTAACTAATACATAAGACAGGAGTTGTGTATATTTATGAGGTACAATATGAGGTTTTGGCTGTAGGCAGCTAAATGAAATATAAATATTATAGGCAGTCAGACAGGGCCAGACCCTCAAGGAGACAGCACAGAAGATAAGGTATGTTGCAACTGTGAGAGATGGATGCTCCTGCTGTGGGCCAGACCCAGAGACGAAAGATGGAACAAATGCTGACCTCCCTAAAGATAAGCATCGGGGATTGATCATCACCCTGAGGAAGCCAGGAAGAGTCACTAATCCGACTATTACCTGCTGGCTACCGGATAAACTCCGGTTCTATATTCATGTCCACTTGCTATGTGACTCCCTTCTGCATTTGGCCCTGGACTCAATCAATTTTACCTGAGCAGTGGTGCTTGAAATCCCATTGGTTGGCCATAGTTTTGTCCCATTTCATGCCCACCTAAGCAAGTTCCCGTTTTCCCCATCTTAGCCCTGCATGGTTTTGCCTTATAAAAATAACCTGGAAGAGACAGCTGCCTGGGCAACTCGCTTGGGCCACCTCTTCTATCCCTCTCAGACAGAAGCTTTGTTTTCCCCAATAAATATTCCGCTCTTAACCTCCATTTGTCCTAAAATTCATTCTTCAGTTTTAGGGAACACAAACTCATCCCAGGTACCTTTCAGGTTGGGAGTTTCATTTCCCCTGTATCACTTTGATACATTGTGTAATGTTTAATCAGATTAAACATACTTATTTCCTCCCCAAAAGAAATAAACATTATTTTATTAATTTTGCTTTATTATGTATTTGCAATACCTAATGATTGCATTCCTTATGGGGAGTTCGTACAGGTACATAACACATTTTAATTCTTTGTTCACCCCCTTTCTTGTCTCTGTCTCCCTCCTTCCCTTCCTCCTTCCATCTCTTGATCTCCTTCCCATTTGAGAAATGCCTATCTCCCTTCCTCCTATTATCTTTTATTTTGCTCTTTATTTATATTTTGGGGTTCTCATGTAAGAGAAACTGTCATATTTTAAGCTTGTGCATCTGTTTTATTTCACTTAGCATGGTTATGGTCTCATGGCACATCCATGAATTTGCATGTCATCCTTTCGCAGGGCCCATGCTAATCTTCTCTGTATCATTCGAATTTTAGTATATGTGCTGCTGAAGCCAGCGCTCATGGTACGTCCATCTTCCTACATATAACTCAAGCTTATCTTTCTAACAGAATAGTACTCCACTGTGTGTAAATAGCAGATTGTCTTTATCCATTCATTCTTGATGGACATTTAGGCCACTTCCAAGATTCAGCTATTATGAATTCAGCTATTATGAATTGTGCTGCTATAAACATAAATATGTATGTATGTATCCTTGTAATACAATATCTTAACTCTTTGGGGCAGATGCCTAGAAGGAGAATAGCTGGGTCAAATGGAATTTCTATTTTTAGTTTTCTGAGGAATCTCTGTACTGATCTCCAAATGATTGTACTAGTTTACATTCCCAGCAACAATGTAGAAGGGTTTCTCTTTCCCTGCAGTCTTTTTTTTTTTTTTTTACCACGGATCGAACTCAGGGTCTTGCTCTTACCATGCAAGCACTTATTCCACTGAGCCATCTCCCTGGTCCTTTCCTGCAGTCTTGCTAGCATTTGTTTTCTTGATGGTAGCCAGCCTTTTTAAAGTAAAGT